CTCTTCTCCCTGGTAACAGATGATAGGACGAGGGGGAATGGTTTGAAGCTGCGCCAGGGCAGGTTTAGGCTAGACATTAGGAAAAACTTCTTCACAGAAAGGGTTGTCAGGCTCTGGAATGGGCTGCCCAGGGAGGTGGTAGAGTCCTCATCCCTGGAAGTATTTAAAAGAAGGGTAGATGAGGTGCTTAGGGACATGGTTTAGTGGTGGGATGGCAGGGTTAGGTTAAAGGTTGGACTCGATGATCTTAAAGGTCTTTTCCAACCAAAGGGATTCTATGATTCTATGATCATTTGTCTCCTCGCATACACAGAAGACAACTGGATCCTGATATAACACACAGGAGATGTATCAATACTTTCAGACTCATCTCATTTCCCAGAGGTGCTTCAGTGCCCAAGGAAGCAGCACTTCCTTCTGACAAATCCTCTTCTGCTCCCCATACTATGTCTCCCTTATAATCATACCATCTCCACCCAGTCATATCGTCTCCCCAGCATACACTCTTGTGTATTATGAAGGGACATGCTGTGTGTTTAAGAGCATCTTCACTTTCACTTAATGCTATCCTTTCTCTAAAACGTTGCCAGAAATCAGACAAGTCACTGTGGAAACCAAGATACAGGAGGTGCAAAGATAGCCCAAGTCACTTCTGTTAGCCCTCACTCTGTTCACATTCTAGGTGTTCCTCTATCAGAACAGGTATTCATATCTTCATGCTCCAAGTGTTCTCTACTGTATGAACGATGTTACGGCTTTACCCCAATCCAAATATGCCTTAGAGAAGCTAAATTTCTCTTTTCCCTGCATATTATTCTAAGGAAGTCACATCTCACCTGCAAAACCATTCCAGCTCCAGTTTACATTCTTCAATGTGTTGTTGATAGTGATAATGCAGTTTGCATCTTTTTCTTCTTTCCTTGACAAGTGTCCACTTTACCCAGCTGTACTCTAAGTTCACTAATCTTTGCCTGTTTAGCATTTTCAGATGTTTTCAGATGAGTGACTGTGACAACATAGTGTTCTATCTCTTTCTCTCTCTCTTCTAAAATTCTTAGGTTATAGACAAATTCTTCTTTCAATTTGTTAAATTGTTATGCATGTCTTGGAGATGCTTTTTGACATTTTGCTGCATTTTCTTTTGACACGGGAACTGGCAAGCATGTAGCTCTATTTCCACTGAAGGAGATAATTTAGCTTTCTCCATTTGTAACATTACTACAAATCTGAAACAGGAGCTGAAGGAAGACAGTTAAGACTGACAACTAATACAAATCAAGTACCTCATCACACACAATCTACTACATAGCTGATAATTAATTACCAGTGAATTTTAAATTTAAATTGTAAAGTTTCCTGGACCATCAGGCATAGGCCACCTCTAGAAGCAGAATTTACTTTTATTTATAGTCCTGCATTGTCCGGGGATAAGACTTTCCAAATTAGTTATGAAATGCCACTAAATTTTGGGGCGGGAAAACATAATTTTCTCCTTTCTTTATACAGATTGGAAATAGAGGCATAAAAAAATTTAGTCACTTAAACTGCACACATATTTCTCTTTTCTTTAAAACATTTATGACAAGTCAAGTCACAGTCCAGCCTCCTCTTACATCAACAATATTAACTGCTGTGTCCCATTTGTTTTCTCCTCCCACAATTACTCATGGGACTACGAAGCTACTGTTCTGTCCACA